AACAACAACAAGACTTGAAACTCTCACAATAAACAATTCTCGTTACGATTTTGTCTCTATTAAAAATTGTAAATTGAAATTCAAAAATCATTTTTTCTATTACTACAACATTCATTTTTAAAAATACCCAAAAGTGCAGTATCTCGGTTGCAACACCACGAACTCTTTTCAAGATAGCCAATAACTTATTATGATCTACATAGTTAATTGAAATCATTATTCGTTTATTTTTAAATTTGATCTTGCATTGAACATGAATAAAAGAATCAATAAAATTCAATTAATTTTTTGTTTTGTATTTTAGTACACCCACTATTTCAACTCAGGATGAAAATTTAAGTATAAATAATTTTCATTGTTTTGGTGATTTATTTTCATATAATAATGATTTATCATTATTTACAAATACAAAATTTTCTTCATATATATTATATCGTAGTAATCAAACAAATAATTGTACATTAATATGTTCATTAAATACAACAGAAAATAAATATAAATGTATATTATGTTTAAATTCTTTATATTATTTAACAAATAAATATAATGATTTATTTTTAATAAGAAATGGTTTAAGATTTATAATTGATGTACAAAATCCACGTTATTTATTACAAACAATAAATTATAAATGGTTATTAAAAACAAATTTAAATAATTTTTTTGAATGGCAATTTTTAATTGAAAATTTAAAAAAAAATTTCATAATACAATTTTATTCGAAAATTTTTACACGTATGTCTTTTTGGTGGACAAGTGAAATATTTTCAAGTTATACAATTATGGAACAATTACGACAAGAAAACGTTTTTTTAATTCCTATTAAATTTGTTATTTTATTTGTTTTTTTAACTTTATTCACTGGGATTTTAGGAATATTTGTTACATTAACTACATTATTAAATTTTGCTACTTGTATAGCTATATTTACTTTATTAAATTATAAATTAACAATTGAAAATGTATCTTATTTTGTTATTATACTTATAGTTTGTTCACAATATTCAATACTTTATTCAATTAGGTAATAGTTATTCTTTATTGTATTGTTTGATACTATGACTAGAGTTATGTATTCATAAAAGTTTGATTCATTTTGCATTAAAATTTGACTTGTCATCGGACGAATATGGATGAGAATAAATAAATCTGTTTTCTATTAGGATTGGAGATGTGCGAGACTGTGAAGAAAAATTTTGTCGGGGCTAAGACTATGCCAAAAAAAAAGTTATCATAACCAAAACTAAAGATCACCGTTAAACATTCTATGTTTTTAAACAAATTATCTTATAAATTATATCAATCAGAACATAATTGAAGAGTAATGGTAGAAAAAAGTATTAGTCGTCGACTGAATAAATCTAAAAGAAAACGAGTATTGAAAGAGTATTATTAAACGTGATACAAATAAATTCTGGAATAATTTCTCTAGACCAGGACTCGTACTAGAAAAAACTCAAATCACCAGAACCGAAACTACCAGCACAGATGGAGCCGGTATATCTTATTCATATTTTTCCTCTTAGTATCTCATAGAGAATGTGTAATAAAACTTTGTTGAAAGTTGAGTATGTCATAAATCACTACCCACAGATGGAATAGTACGAAAATTCATTAGTCTAATGTCGGTATGGATTCCAGGTCGGTTTCATCTCTCATTATCGACATGGGGAACAACAGAACTTGATCACGCACATCTTCAATCCGGATAAAGTTAGTCTTATGTCGTAAGCTTGTGATTCTTCTCGTCATATCAACAAAAACATCTACGGTTAAAAAGACCTTACTTTTTTGGGTAACTATTAAAATATCCTGTTGCAAATAAGGTTCACCATCTATGAATATTTAAAAATAGTTTTTCAGTTACCTGCATAGTATCTATTATTTTCTACTTTGAAAATTTCACCAAATTAGCTAATTACATATCTAAATAACTACTAGACTTAAGTATCGTTAAATACTAAAGTATTTAAAGATGTTTGCATGCATTGATATTTGAGTACTCGGTTATTTAGGTACTTAAAACGCAAAAAAATTGCTTGAATAGCAATCTAAAAACAGCATAACCTGGAAATCCTATTTTAATCTATATATTACATTTAATAACAAAATTCTCAGCTTAGAAATGTTTTTCAGATTATTGCAACTAATCTTGAATATTTGAAAACATGCAAAATATGTCTCTATAATGAACATTATAACCAAATCACTACTGACGTGTACAATTCTTTCAAAATACTAAAAAATTTTTTTAATCTATCAGTTACTTCAGAGTTCGAGTCAAATTATAAAATTGCATTTTTTTTCATAGTTTTTCAAAGACTAATTATTAATCGTAATTTTACATATTAAAAAAAACCAATAAATTCTAGAAGATACCTAGCCTAAAACTTGATTATTTCGAAATTAAATATTATATTAACAATAAGACACAAAGATCATTTTTAATTTCATTTAAATATTTTTAGTTACAAATTAGCACCAACATTTTTTTTTCAACGTGAAAATCGTACAATGCATTCACTTAATCAATTATGTACGACATTATTTCAATATACATTTTCAATAATAATAATTTGTAGTCCTTGTTTATTTTCATCATTACCATATTTATCAAAATCAGCTATGGTTTATATAATATCATCTTTAATTAGTTTTATTTATTCAACTCTTTTTCTTCAATCACTTTTTTGTTTTTTTGGTCCAGCTGAACAAACATGTTTTCTTCTTCGATGGCGTTTAACATTTTCACGTAATTCAAATTTACATACTACTAATAATAATGATACATTATTACGAAATACATCGAATAGTGTTTCACGACGACATCATCGTACGTCGACATCATCTTATTTTGCTTCATCATATTTCTCACAAATATTTACAAATTCAACTTATTTTGAAAGTGAATATGGTGGTATAAGTGAAAATTTAACAATGTCATCTAGACGACGTGAAAGTTCACGTAATCATTCAGCATCATATGTAATGAAACGTGGTTCATTATTAACAGGAGAATTAATTGAATTATATACACCACGTGCTAGTCTTTCACCACACACTCATAATTTTAGCTATCATCGTCATGTTAGACAATCATCTGTAGTACGTGGTATTCCATCATCTGCACCAGCACGACCACTTTATGTATCTCCATCAATATCACCTTATTCACAATTAAGTATACATTCACAGGGTGCTATTCGACAGCGTTCACCATCTCCGCATATTGTTCGACCGTCTCGGTCACCATCTCCACATATTGTTCGACCATCACGATCACCATCACCATCACCACGTTCATTTGTGCCATCAACACCGATAACAACAACAAATGCTCTTCGGCCATGTTATTCAGCACCTCGTCTTCATGCACCAGTACATCGAACACAAACAACAAATATTAAACAAAATGATACACTTTTTGAAGAAACTCCAGTATCAATGGAAAAACGAAAACAAAAAACAGTTACAATTATTCAACGACAAAAAGCTGTATCATCAAAAGATGATATCGAACAATCATCAACGATAACAAATTCACCATTATCAGCTGCTACACGACGAAATATGTTAAAAGAAACAGCAATTGATTCGGAGGATGGTCCTGTTTGGCTTAAACGATCAAATAGTAGTTAGATTTCATTAGTTATGATTTTCAACTGTTAGATTGATGTGTATGAGTTTGATCAATTGATTGTTTTTTTTTTTTCGTATGAACATTATTCTAGTCGTAATCCCATGTTGTTATTATTCCTGTGTGCGTGTGTGTGATCTTTTTTTTATCAGATAATTATTAATTCATATACGTATATATATATATTGTGTAGGTGAAATATAGACATAATTTTCAGTTTATTCATTTCAGAACGATTCTCTAATTTTTTTTGCTATCTAGGTTAATATCATATATACATTCTAGATATAAACATGTTATTTTGTTCTGGTTTTTTTCTCTGTTTGCTTATTTGTACGGTCGATATTTTTTTTGTTAAAAAATGACAAATAACAAAGAATACTTTCTTAATTTTTTTTAATGCAATGATGTCATTTAGTGTAAACAAATTTTTCTACCTAAAGTCTATTTAACAATTTATTAATAACAACACCCACATGTATATTAAATTTAATGCGTTGAATTATTTCATTTCAAAAGTTCTCAAAGGACATTGAGACATACTTATCATAGACGTCGATCTATTTATATTTCAATAATGCGAATATTAAGTATAATAATTTCATAAATTCAGTGTGTCCTTTTTTTTTTATTAAAAAAATTATAATAGGTGAAGTAGATTAAAAATTCTTGAATTTTAATATCATCATATTTTTATTCTGTTTATTATTGAATAGATTATATCGATAATGATATGATGAATGAAATTATTCGGCGATTTCTACATTTATTAAAATGACTACGTATTAGATCAGTAAAAACTTATGTTTCATCTCTTCTTCAGTCATAAATTAATATCATTATCAACTTTGAAAACTTTCACTAGTCTTTGTCAATAACAATCAATAATCTTTTCTTATAGAATCTAATAAAAGATCTCATATAATTATTGAAATACTAATTCAAATTAATACGTAATAAAAATTTCATATATTTTGTTTGTGATTTCTTTTGTGTGTCATCAACAAAATATTTCCCCATTTATGTAGGCGTTTTTAGTGTCTCTCATTCATGTGACATCATACAGACTATTTTAGTTTCATGCTTCAATAAATTATTAATCATGATTGAATCAGAAGAAATATTTGAGTAATAATTTAATTCACACATCATCACAAAGCAAAACGGTGTGTTATTACGGTACATCGTAATATTTCTCGCGAGAATATAAATATTACTTGGTTTATTGTTTTAACAACTTACTTGACTATTATAATCAAATAGCTTAACTACATCATGATACTAATACACAATAGAATGAATCAACATTTTTTTTCTCGTAAAGCTTCTATGAAAAAAACAAAAATTAAAAAGAAAAAGGAATCTATGTTGATGCTGATCCAACAGCGGTCATCAATTGTTTGATGATGCTCATTAATGCAATAAAATCACGAAATTGAAGTGTACCATCATGATTTGAATCGACCATGTCAAACAATGTTTGACCCACATATTTACTAAGAAAACCAAGACCCATCTCTTGAAGCATTATTTGAACATCTTCAACTGTTATTTTTCTATCATTATTTCTATCTAATGTTTTCCACTAAATAAAAAAAAAGAACAAATAAAGATAAATTAAAATATACAAGATTGAAACTTACAAGAAAATACATTTGTCTAACATTATCCAACATTCCAACTTTACTTTGAATATTAGTAGGAGGTGTGACTTCATTGGAAACATTATAACCATGTTCAGAAAGTACTTTTTCAGCAGCATTCAAGTAACTATTTAATCGAGCTTTAGAATTATTTGCTTTTCCAATAGGTTCATGCATATTGTTAGATACTAAACCTTGTAACCAATCATCTAAAGATTTTGGTGGTGGTTGTTCACTAAGACTTTTTGACCAATCATTAAGCCAAGTTCCTAGATTACCAGTTACAGTAGCATCATCATTGGAAGTGGTAGTTATTTCCGGTGCAGTATTGTCTGCAGATGAATACATATCATTAGGTACCATACCTTGCATCCAACTTTTGAGATCTGTTGATTGTTGTTTTTGTGGTTCTTGTTGTTTAGGTAAAGGTGGTTGAATTGGATCATCAAGACGAAGTCGTAAACCTGTGATCCAACTTTGAACATCGGCTGGTGGAGCTATTTGCTCATCATTATCTGTTGGATTTCTATCGGAATGTTCGAGTTCTTCGATTATTAATTCTTCTGTTTCTTGATGAAAATGTTTGACATATTCTTGAACATCAGAAATACCTGCATTAACAAGCATACGACTAAGTACGCCATTATTAATATCTGTTGGAGTTAAGTTTGCTAATTTTTCCATTTTTATGTAAATGAGAAAAAAATATATGATGCAATTGATGTATATATATATATATCTGAAAGTGCTTGATTACTTTACGCGTAAAGATAAGGAGACGGCGTGTCATCACACATGTTTTATTGTGTTTGATGAAACGAATAACGAAAAAAAATCAAATATTATCTAGCAGTCAGTATAATGAATCATCAATCTATGTAATGATGCCTAGGCCTATCAAAACAGTACGATTTACGCTTCGAAAACGGACTTTAAACGTTGGAAAAAATACAATATCTATGGTGGTCTATGGTTTCAATGCTTTTCGTCTACGATCCGTATTATCTGACGCAGAAATACGGACTGTATTTGGACATTTTTCCTAGCTTTACGGATAAAGTGTAGTCAGTCATAATACTATGTATCGTGATCATATACAGTTGTAAATATATAGTATTATATCCGTCTAAGACGGCTTTTTAGTCGGATCCTTCTATCCAGGTATTTTAGAAAAAGATATTTTGTCATTTAAACAAGTATTTATTACCCCAAGCAAGCTTTTATCACACATCAACGCCATTTCGTAGCAAAAATATTAAAAAAACTCAATTTCATAAACAATATTCAAACATCATTTTACATACATATATTAACGTCTCAATACTCTTTATGAAATGTAATTTTTGTTATTTTCTGCTACAAAACGGTGTTTATGTGTGATAAATACTTGTTTTGGACAATAGATACTTTTTTAAATAATAAACAACCTTTTCTTGTTCTATCTAGGATACTATTTGCTTGATTATTATACGTTGTTTTTCTTTATTACATTGATTAAAGGCGGATCGACTATTGAAGTATGTTAATATGAGTTAACATAAATCTGATATAGATTGATTGTAACATATACATAACTGAAGTAAACTTAATCAAATAGTTTTTACATAAAAAAATAACGAAATGATCTTTACGTACATTCTCAATGATTTATCTATTTTCATGGATACATCTCTTCACGGTTGTGTTAATGTATTATTAGCAAATAGAAACTGTTAAAACTTTATTTTCAAATTACACTGCGATATGTGTATATTTGTATTTAAACTTTAAACCTTATACCAGTGTTTGGCTGCTTGTTTTTGTTTATATAGATGGCGCTGTGATAAATGAAATTTACCCATATCGTCTCTTTTTTTAGCAACTGCGATTTTTCATCGTAACTACACATAAATGTGCCGCAATTTAGTTGTAATCGAAAACATGAGTTATAAGAGAATATATTACAGCATTTTCACCCGAGTTTTCATTAGTTTGTTTATATTTAATGAGAAAAAAAGAGAAAACTACCTAATCTGTAAATCGATATAGTTTATAAAGTTACTCTTGAACATTTTAGAAAAAAATCACTTGAATCTTGTGTAAATAGTGTTGAGCACTGAATCAAAAATGATATTGGGTAAATGGTATCATAAAACATCTGGCAATATCAATATATATCCGTATCTATGGTGTAAACTGGCAACCATTTATGAAAAATATCAGGTCTCCATAAAACTACTGTATTTTATCAATTTATTGCCATTTACGAACTGTCTATGTAGATCTGAGTTGATATATTTGATTCATTCATCAAAGCAGCAACTAAAAATGACAAACACTAATTCCAAGGTTGGATAATTAATTATATAATTAAGTATACAGTGTGTCCTCAAGCAACACAAATTCATAAAAAGATTTAATTAGAATCGTGACACTTGCTGCCAGATAAATGAAGTCAATTATAGTATTGTGTCAACATTTTTATCATATTGTGTCTGAATAACAAGCATTTTGAACTTTTTAAACCTAGAAAATATTGCTTTTAAAAAGATTACCATTTTATTCTTAGTATAAACTTCAAAAAACTAAATATAGATTGAAATTAATTTAAGAAAAAAATTTTAGTTTTTTTTTCGTATTTCTGTTGTAACTTAAATGAAAATTTCATGTTTTTGATAATCAGGTTTTACAAACTGACAAAATCATCACTACCATAATACTGTTTTTGCAACAATTCAACTGTATATCTTTTTTTTGTAAAAGTCAGATGAATATTGTCAGTATAGGTTTTACGAAGTTTTTTAAATGAGCATCGACTGACTAATATGCATCTTGTTGTACGAATCAAGTCGTTCCAGGTGATCAAGATATAAAAAAGCTATGAAAAACATATTATATGCTTACAATCAATCACATAGTTTCATTCATGAGTAATTAGCTTTGAAATTGATAGTTAGCATTTTCTAATACAACCGTCAAGCCTCAATTGTCTAAAAAAAAAATACAACGATATGATGTATTGAAACTGCACTACTAATGAAAACTTCTTGCTTTTCTTTACTTATCAATTTTGTAGTTGTAACATTATAGATTTTCATTAGCGACTAATACTAACTCATATCACACTTTTTATGTCAGAACTATCTGCGAAAAATAAATTATCTTTAACAAAGCAAGTTAGACTATAGTGCTTCACACATGGCTTTATTATTCTTATTCCTTACGCACAATCGTTGATGTTTCTCTACTAGATTCTTGATAAATTCAATAAGGATCTTGCACCACAGATTCGCTATCTTCTTATGATGAAACAACTATATATTAAAAGAAGTGTGTGGCCACGAAATATCATAAGTTTTGGCAGAGTTTGAAATAAAATCTTTGCAGAATCTTCTAAACAAAACAAAAGTGAAATTGAAACAGAACTTTGATATGTGGACCTTCAGTTTACAAACTGATTATCTTATCCGAGTAGACTCTGCTATGTTGTTCAACATAAATTCGATCTTCAATATTTGAAAATCACTATCAATTGTTAAAGTTTGATTTGAACTTTATTTGAGTCCAATTATATAAAACTTACGAGAAGATACAATATTTCATTTAAAAATTTGCCTTTTCACCTGAGTTACTACAGTTTCGTCTTGATACTGATTCAGTAAAAAAGAACATTTCTACATTTTTAAACCAATGCTTTAACTGAACATACTAAAACTTTCATTTAATAATTTCTCAACATTCATTTAGGTATAAAATTAAAAAGATGAATGATTTTCGTGACTTAAATCTCAGAACATATTCCATACTCATGAAAAGATTTAAAAGAAAATTCAGCAAGTTTTTGACTGAATCTTTCTATCTATTTACATAAAGACCTAAGCCAAAATCAGAAATACTAATAGGACCTTGAATTCTAAGAATATAAACAAAAATCTACTAAATCTAGAAAAACTTCTTTTTTTTCAATATTAGCATTTAAATACTATTGAGGATCATAGATTGGTAATTTTTGATAAGTTCGGAGCAAGAGACTGCTCAAATCTTGATGAAAATCTTTTGTCCATTTTGTTAAAATTTTAAAACTGGATCAACTATAAATCTTGATAGGAATCTGAAGATCAAATTTCAATTGAACTGTAATCAAAAACCTGTAAAAATCTTAACTGAATCTTTTATTTTCTTATTGAAATTTCTGATCATAGTTACCCTTCTCTTTTAAGAATGTGAAAAGGGTCCCGGTTGAAATGTGACAAGAGTATACGTTCTGTTTATTCTAAGTGATACTCTAGTATTCTTGATCAAATCGTCAGTTTCATATTCCTTTCAAGACTCATAGCACGAATGAGAATAAAGTCTGATGCGATCCTGAATACTCCAATTCAGAAAAATATCTCTGCAGAACTTTGATATATCCTAAAAAGGATCCTGAAAGATCCTTAAAGAACTTCTCAAGTAATAGACAGGATTGAGACTAAAATTACTCAAAAACATGCACATATATTCTATACGAATATTTGAACCAATACTATTCAAAATTATTGAAGAAATCGATCACAACATTTATTTGATTTTAAATTCAAAGAAAAATCTTCAATTGAAAACGTTACATAAAATATACATTGTCGAATTCAAATAGTCATACATATACTTCAGAAATCACGATTAAAAGTAAAACGACCCATAAATGAATGAAAAGTTGTTTTTTTTTAACTTTTAAAAATCGTTATTTTATTTTATTCGAATAGAGTTTATTCCAAAACTGTCAACTCAATACAGAAAAATTAGTCAACAAATATATTTTACAATTTAAAGGAAAAAAAGAACAACAGATCTACATAGATGTCGATAAAGATTCATATATATAACTTCGATCTGTCATTGATTATAAACAAAAAAGTTTTTATTATTATTATTCTTGTTTTAAAAGAGTCAACAAACTCTTTTGTCTGAATACGTTGTATTATATTGATCTGTTACATCTCACTCGAAATCTTGTAGGACATTTCAACATCGCCATAGCACATTTGAACAAATCTTTTGATGCAAAATCTAATAATTCATAGAAAACAAAATGAAATAACCATTGAATAAGAGAAACAAACAAAAAAACTTATATAATCTAACTTACACTCTTTGCATTCTTGTTCTGTCAATGAACCTAAGTTATAATTCCAGAAGCATGAAGAAATATCGGTTGATATGACCAATAATAAAATTATTACAAACAATTGAGAATGAAGTAGCATTGGTATAAATGAAGGCTCTAAAAAATACTTTAAAGATCTTAATACAAGAAAAGTATCAAATAGCAAGAAAAAAAAAGAAACTTTTTTTCACATTATTTCGTCTCTTTTTATAGGTCGGATTTTAAAGTATGTCACGCGTTTACTGCGTCATTTATATTTCTAATAGTCAATACAAATGAGTAATGTTTAATAAATTTACAAACTACAGTCAACAAAAATGTACTCGGCATACTCTCGTTGTTATTTGTTATAATATATTCAAACATCTTCGTTAGTTAATGATTAAATTATTGCAACTAATATAAATTATCTAAGACGGATGAGACATTCTTTTTATCGTAGGCGTCCTTATTCATATATATGATTGATCAGATTTCTAATATAGTAAAAATGCAAAAAGAGGTACATTCCAGAAAGAAAAGAGAAACTGTATAGTATAATAATTATATACTTTTTTTTGAAAAATCTATCACAGTACATACTTTGTTTCAAACACGAATACGATCGAGATGGATTGTGGCTGTATGCCAAAATTGTATTACGTCAAAGCTATTACTCAAAAGGAAGAGAAATAAAAAGAAACATATTTCAAAAAGAAAATTACGCTGTTAACATCACTGACATTATTTTTATTCGAATGGCTATTACTTTAGTTGTCATACTAATGACAATAGTAGAATTAGAATTGTAAATTAAGATTTATGAGCCTGTATATATGTCTATCAAGGAGAAAGCGCATTGATTTTTGTAAACTGGAAACTTCGTTTTTTTTTTTACAAAAGTGAATATAATTCGCGAGTATATTTGATTGAAGTTCAGTTCGTCTTAGTAAGGTTCGATCAAACAAAAATAAACAAGAAAATATCTTTAAGCTTATGCTTTTTGAGTCGAACTTTTTTATTGATGTTCTTATTTGTTTTCTAGTTTAATATGATTCATAGATCGTGTATAGAAAATACAAAAATATATTATATGTTGGTAACTTTTGTTAAGTTATGTTTCAACTAAAACAATAAATGAAAGGATTTTTTTTTGTAGTTGATGTATTTCCTGAGGTAGAATGGTATTTGTCTACTCTAGGAAGTTAACCATTTGGTGACCGGCGACGCATATATGCGTCACGACCTTTTATAATCACGTGAAACTAATGTAATCACTTATAATGCAATTTTTTTTTCGATACATTTGCGTAAAAGCAAAAATCACACAGCAGGAGCTTTCAACATAATTATTTTTTACGGGTCATGTTACAGTGCTGCGTTAAGAAATGAAAATGCGTGTGGTGTAGAGCCACTCTATTTTACCTATGTATATCTTTTATTGGTAATCAAAAGATTATTATTCCAAAAATTTAAAAAATTAAATCGCAAACAAGTTTTGCCCTGGATATATATATTCAAGTATAGTTGTTAGTTTTATAACAGAAAATATTCTTATTCATTCTAGAACAAAAGATTGTGCTCAGTCTATTGAAATATTGATTATTCGTCAACGAAAGTCTAGAATCTGAGATCATAATTGAATAAAGCAATTATAAAGAGAAACAGACAGTTTAGAAATTTTGAACAAGCACATAATTTAGTCTCATGTTTATTGTTGAAATAGTAGTTTTATACATTTGCCTAATCAAAGGGAAACTTCGTTTCATAGAATCATCTTTAATGGAATGGAAGACTATAAACTTGTAAGAATCTCTTTTTCTTTCATAATTTCTCTTCAGTTAGTATCTACTTATATAAATCTTCATTCATTCATATCTCATTTTTCTCACTTTGAATCAAATTTTATATGCAATCAAAACCAAAAGCATCTGCTATATTACCTAAATAAATTATAACAACAATAATAATGAAGAAAATATTTTTTTATAAAGATGCTGTAGGTTTTAGACCGCTCTATAGAACTATCAATATAATTCAAAAAGTTATTCCAAACAATCCTAAGTGTTCTCCCTAAATTTTCGGAAAAGCTCTCATATAATTATTAAATCAGTTACATATATATCACTTTTTGGATGAATGAAATCTGATCCCCTTATTGAAGAAAACAGCAAGTATATATACATAGGAGAGAGACAATAGACGGACTAGAGAAGAAGTCGAGAAGCTTCATCCGTCTGTTTAGAAAATGAACCATAGAAAGAATTAAGACAATGGTTCTTATTACTCAACAAATACGTCAGTTAGGAAAAGTAGGTAAGACGAAAAAGGTCATACATGCAACAGCTTAACAGAAAAAGAAAAGAATAAGAACATATGTATAATAGTTGGATAGAAAAGAAGAGAAGTGAAGCACTATGTAACAAAATCTTATGTTAAGCTTCAGGGATAATTAAGTTTTCACAACCTATGAATGCGTTCTTTTGCTCAGAGTGTCTCTTGCAAAGCAATTTCTCCAACTACGTATTTGTTTTTATTAACCTTTTCTCATTTGTCATTATATATATATTTGTTTTCATGACAGGCTCAAATGATTTATTGATCATGATTATAACAGATCAAAATACTTCAATGGATATTTTAATTAAGCGTCCTCTTAAAGCGAAAACATGTTCTTGCAGAACCAATTCATATTGCGTCTAAATAAGTATCAATACAGTTGAATTCTTCTTGTCACAATCTAATAGGAATATTACAGTCAAATGAATTCTATCTTCAATGACCTATTCAACTGTATTGATCAATAAGAAATGTGAACTCAGTCTAAAAATCGTTTATTTATTACTATATAAGAAGACTAATACGTGATAAAAAAGCTAAACGTATTCTCACACATTTTTTCGAAAAAACGTTGATGTACAAATAACAAAAAAGAACCATAAACAGATTTATGCGTTTGTTTTCGCTGATCCAACAGCGCTAATTAATTGTTTGATAATGCTCATTAATGCAATAAAATCACGAAATTGAAGTGTACCATCATGATTTGAATCGACCATGTCAAACAATGTTTGACCTACATATTTACTAAGAAAACCAAGACCCATCTCTTGAAGCATTATTTGAACATCTTCAACTGTTATTTTTCTATCATTATTTTTATCTAATGTTTTCCACTAAATAAAAAAAAGAACAAATACAGATAAATTAAAATATACAAGATTAAAACTTACAAGAAAATACATTTGTCTAACATTATCCAACATTCCAACTTTACTTTGAATATTAGTAGGAGGTGTGACTTCATTGGAGACATCATAACCATGTTCAGAAAGTACTTTTTCAGCAGCATTCAAGTAACTATTTAATCGAGCTTTAGAATTATTTGCTTTTCCAATAGGTTCATGCATATCCTTAGGTATTAAACTTACTAACCACTCATCTAAAGATTTTGGTGGTGGTTGTTCACCAAGACTTTTTGACCAATCATTAAGCCAAGTTCCTAGATTACCAGTTACAGTAGCATCATCATTGGAAGTGGTAGTTATTTCTGGTGCAGTATTTCCCGTAGATGAATACATATCATTAGGTATCATTCCTTGCATCCAACTTTTGAGATCTGTTGGTTGTTGTTTTTGTGGTTCTTGTTGTTTAGGTAAAGGTGGTTGAATTGGATCATCAAGACGAGGTCTTAAACCATTAACCCAACCTTGAATATCAGCTGGTAATTGTTGTTGTTGTTTTTCTTCGGGTAATGACGGTTGAATAGAATCATCCAAACGAGGTCTTAAACCAGTAATCCAACTTTGAACATCAGCTGGTAATTGCTGTTGTTTTTGTTGTTGTTTAGGTAACGACGGTTGAATAGGATCATCTAGACGAGGTCGTAAACCTGTAATCCAACCATAAATATCAGTTGAAGAAACGATTTGTTCATCATTATGTGCATTATTTCTATCGGAATGTTCGAATTCTTCTATTAGTAATTCTTCTGTTTCTTGATGAAAATGTTTGACATATTCTTGAACATCAGGAATACCTGCATTAGCAAGCATACGATTAAGTACACCATTATTAATATCTGTTTGAGTTATATTTGCTAATTTTTCCATTTGTTTGTTAATAAAACTAACATATAAAACAATCGAGATTGATATTGATATATATATATATGCGTGTGTGCATACTCGCCTACCTGACACGAGAAAGATAAGAAGGAGTTGTATATTATCACTTTATCTGAGTCATTCAAGAAAAGAAAACGAATACAATATAAGAAGAAGTCACTTATTCAGAGTCTTGATGAATCACGATTCTCTACTGTCTATGATGAATGTATTTTATTCATGAGAAAAAAAAGCAATAACTACGTATGAAAGTTAAGTATTGTATGGTTAGATATAATAAATAAAAAGAAAAAGTATCAATGTTTCGTTTTTGATCTAGAGCATCTATTGCGGCGGTATTCCACCAAATTGACCGGATAGTTTATTTAAAAGAGTGACTAATGCCATGAGATCAGTAAAATCAAGTGAACCATTATGATTTTGATCAACTGCTTGAAATAAAGCTTTAGCTAAATCTAAATAAATATATAAATAAATCAAAATCAAAATTAATTATATCAAATAAAAACTACACACATGGTGAAACAAATCCAAGTCCCATTTCTTGAAGATAAATTTCTATATCCTCAGCCGTTATTTTTCCATCACCATTTTTATCGAACTGTTTATAAAGAGCATACATTTTTTGAGCATTTTGATATGTTGAACCTAGATAAACATTATTTAAGCATCATGTTGTTTTTTTCGAATCTTTAGTTCTTTCATACCGATATTATCGAGAAAACCGCCGCCACCACCACTACCACCACTAGCACCTTGATCACCAGAAAACATTTTATATGCTTTCATTGCACCTTGAATCATATCAAGAGAATCATTTCCACTACTACCACCGCCACCACCGCCACCACCGCCACTAGTGAACTAAACGGATGAAAACTATGGTTAATTTATTTGAAAGAAAATCACTTTTTTTTTAGGATACTTGGTTTAAAAATGAAGTTCCTTTCGAGAAGAGATTCGCTTGTTGCTTTGACGCACTACGAAGTGATGTATCTTCATCTTCTTCATCATCATCACCATGATATTCAGTAGCAGATTCACGATTAGCTTCACTTCGAAATTCTTTAACAAATGAATCAACATCATCAACACCAGCTTGTTCTAACATATTATTTAGCATTCCTGTTTCTAATTCTTTACGGCCGAAATGAGATAAATCCATCGTGTAAACTTACAATCTGAAAATAAGAAGAATATGAAGTAAGATGGATTTATTAATTCGAACAAAAAGAACGTACATAACACAAGAAAAAAAAAACAACAACGTAAAAACAGCACAATGTTTATCTATAGATTGCCCATTTTTTTTGTTCGTTCTGTATTTGTAAAAGCACATGATTTGAGTTATTTTTTATATTCTGACTTTTTTACGTAGACGAAAGTTCAAAATATATAAACGAAAATCAATAAGTATTTCTAACCTATTGAATCATTTGATATTATGTTATTCATTAGATGAATGCTTATTATGGAAGTTATTTATTATTGAAGGTATGTATGTGTCATGGATTTTGTACTGAAAATGATTCATATGAAACACATACCTAAATATCAAAACATATTTAACAAATGATTTGCGATAAAAGAAAAAAAAATTTAAACTGCGAGAAAGCCAAATCGTTCTTAACAACGAACAAGAGTAAATAGACGTTAAAGACATACGTGTTTCAATTGACTAAGTAAATACTTTCATGTATGAAATTCATGTATTTCAATGAATTAAGACGGCCACATGTTGAATCTTCATCCTTTAAATAAAAACTTTTCAAGCTTACCTGAGAATAAAAATCGAATATCATGTCATCTTTTTGTACAACACAATGTAATAGAAATGTTGAAGCGTATTCAGACTACGACAAGCATCAGGTAGAAAACATCGATCTTCTATTTGCGTTCTTAAATGATGAAGTAAAAGAACTGCATGAAACATACTGCAAAGGAGATGAAATTAAACAGTCATCTTATGACTCATACAAGTAGATTTATTGTGTTTTACAGTTTAATTCTGTAGAAATCTCTCTAATAGCCTGTTTATATAACTGTCTATTGAAAATAGACTTTTTCTTTTCAAAAAAAAAAATCTTTTTTAATTGGAGTATTTCGTGATATGTTATATTTCGAATGCATAATCCTACACATGTTTTGTCTTTTAATAATAAGAATGCATAAACAAATGATTTTATTATATATGTAATACATATTAACATGTTGGTTTCTAATGAATTATATCTTTTCTTATTTTATTTATATTCTTTGACTGAAAGCCGCTAAAAATGCTTTTTTTTAAATAAGAGGATGATCTTATGAGTTCTAATAAAAAATCTGTTAGAAGACTTTAAGTATCGTTTTACAAACTTTGAACACATGTCTTGATATGAAACCTAAGAATTCATAAGAGAAAAATTCAAACAATTGAATAACAAAAGTGTTTCATTATGTTATGTAAATTTGTGTTTCGAAAGTAAATTGAAACTATAAAACAAAATATATAAATCCCAAAAGAACCTGGAGACAAACCGGTATATTGATAGCTGTAAGTTCTAAAAAAAAGAACATAAAACCTCTGATCTAATATTGATCATTCACTTAATATATACATATAAGCTTTGTATTAATAACATGACATGACTTTATTTCGTCAGTTAAGATTTTATGTTAGAAATTCTTAATCAAAATTTTTGTATATTGAAAAGGTAAATCTAGTGTAAACATACTAATTGATCCTTATTGCTTTCTATTATAATTCGTATCTATGAAACATCTTCGATCTATGATAATTGTCAGAAAACAAAACAAAAATATCCTAATAGAATAGATCATATACAGATTAGATATCTTTTATGATACATATTATTTTTTTAGATATTACTAATCGAACTACAAAAGCATTAAAAGTATTTAATGATTATTAATATAGTTATAATATCCAGAGAAAATTACTTTAACTCAATGATTATAACTACAAGGAGAGCAACTGTTTCCATTAACTGCAGTAAAGCCGTTGTCAATAGAATATATACATTAATGACATAACTAAAAACATTCATATTAATAATCAAAAATATAAATGTAACTATTCATTTCAATAGCAAGATTCTGTTTTGTATATGAATAATAAAAATATTTCTAAACAATACACACATGAAATATTTTATTAAATATCTATTTTTATATCAATTACTTGTTATTATATATATATATATATTATTCGTATTTGTCTTTGAATCATAGAAGATATTTCAAGGAAAACATAGATATATATACGGAAAGAATGCAAATAATATAGATATAATCTCAAGTACGTGTCAATGCTCAAGACTATTTTATACCTTTTTCAAGATTTATCAGAAGTGTAAAATACAATTTCTTTTGAAAACATAAGTTTTATTCAAATAATTATTTCTAAATTTCTTTATTCTATACCAATTCTCCAATACATACTATGTTTTGTTTCGTCAATCATTTGCCTTATGAATGAGCCTCATTGAAAGATTTTCATTGAAAGTTCTATTCACTATATACTTGACATAGTTCTAAATGGAGTAAAAGAATGTAGCCGATTTGTATTTAATCCACTTAATGCTTACATGAAACTTTTTAATGATGAGACATCATTTATTTTCTTGTCATTGATGAAATTTGTCATTCAAATTACTGAATGATTAAGTAAAAACTGAATACATCTAGTGGTACAGTAGAAAAATAAATTTGCTCTTCATGCTTCAATGGAGTTTTTAACATGTATTAGTAAATGATTCATTGAGATACCTGTTTTATACAAACGTATCATTGGATATTCGATTCTCCTATGAGAAAATGGTATTTGATAGACTTTTAGTTTTATTTTCGGGACAAATACAGAAGAAGACAATGTAGATATTTTGTATTAGAAAAACCAAGAATGAATCGACATTAATGACGCGCTTAGGAGATCGTGGGTGGTAGGACAGTGCCCTATGATCTTAGCAGAAATCCATGTAATATATTGTTGATGATAGAAATTTAGACGTTCTTCTTTCTTATAATGGTAGGATGTCAGTTGGTCTAGCCGACCCTTACTTGACAACAAGAAAAAACACTTTTTCTTTTCAAATATCATTATTAATTTGCTTTGAAAAAACAAATTGTCGACTGTTTCGAATAGATGAATGACTACCATGATTATCAAAGTAACGCATTGAGCCGTTTTCATTGTATAGTTATAGTAGAAACTTATGTCATTCTTGGAAATAGATATTTATAAATATGTAACAGAAAAAAAACAGAACGTATAAATATTACAATGACAGATTAGTTTCATATAAAAATACTTCTTATTTAAGAATATGTTTTATTCAGAGAATCAATTGCATTTTTATGTTCCTGCATTATGTATTTTGTATTAATACTTTGTATAGTTTATAAGAAGAAAAAATTTTCGTTGGCGTTGAGACTTGTTTTCAATACTCATTATGATTAAATTTTAATTATTTAATTTTTTGTTTTGTAATTAACATAGCAAAACTTTTATTTAACAATGAAGAAAAAGCGTCGTGAAAAATATAGGTTACAACTGTTTAATAAACTTTTTATCGACTAAAGCGAAATTCAAGAGCGTACCAGTTCACATAAAAATGTAACAAAAACTTGAATGAAATACAAAAAAATAACCATAATTAGACGACTGTTAAAGACGTCGTTTTTATTAAATAGAATCTATATTCATTGTTTTCACTGTTTAGCTAATGTAAAAACACATACACAATGAATTTCATAATATCATAAATGTTTATTTTGGTTTCAAATATGGCTGTGCAAAAAAAAAATAATATCTTATGGATTATATCAAATATTTCAAAAAAAGAAAGTGATACAGTACAGATAAACTGATATTATATTCTACAAACATCTATGCGAATAATACGGTTATAAACCAATTTGTTCATATGCATAAAACAAAAGAACATTGTTTTATTTATATATCCTTTTACAAATTGTTCGATTATCTTCTACATCAATAAAAGATCGTTTAGCCACAGCAGATTCGATTTTATTCATTCTTGGTCGCCATTTTTTTGGACAAGCAAACCTGGCATGAAGTCGTTGATTAATATCATTCGATGCCAAATCTAATAAAATAAATTTAAAACAAAAAAGACGATCAAAATTTTATTACTAACAAGCTCTACATTCATTTTCTGTTAAACTTCCAAGTAATGAATGTCCATCAATCATCATTACAACCAACACAATCATAATAATTAGTCGAAAGCAAAAAAACATTGTAATCTATTGAATATTCTAAGTTTATCATAAATATTATACACTCAATAAATATTGGAAAAAGTATCTAAAATTTTATTACCTGATTCAATATAATCTTTATTTTCGTGAATCTGTATAATATACTAATTTCAATGAAGTTAATGCATTATTTATATTTCGTACTAAAGCTGGCGTTGGATACATAGTTCAAGTGCCATTACTTTCCATATAGAATTTCCAAAGTATGCGCCCAAAAAAAAATGTTCTTATGAAATTCAAAGAACCCAAAAGAAAAATAATTTGTTGGTGTGCAACTATTTTCTTACTCTTTTTCAGTCTGCTGGCTGGAATAAAACGTGCAGACATTTGTCTGATAAAATTGTGGAAGAACAAATGATAATGCTACTTCTTTTCTTTATCAAATGATTTAAAGAACGACCACACCTATTCGACTATGTGAGCAACTATATGAGAGTGTCATTTTAGAAAATAATACTATTCTGTTAGAAATTTTATTTGACTTTTTTTTGCAAATTATTATTCCATTATTTATTAAAAGCATATTTCTTTATTCATATTCATGCGAGTGTACCGAGTAGGAGGTGACTATCCCGAATCTTGAAAAAATTTTGTTCACGCCAATGAAATTTCAGTATTTTATTGCTTTTTTCATGCACCAGTACCCCAACCACCCCTAAAAAACGCACAATGCTCCCTTAAATCATTTAGATTCAAACAAAAATTTTCCATTCAGATCTCTGATCCATCGTTCTGTTTCGTAATTCTAGCGACCTTGAGACATTGTTGCATATTCACATTGAAAAAATAATTAGTTGGTTGAACGTGAGAGATATGTCCAATATAATTAATAGAATCTCTTTGCCAAAGTTATCCACAAATGTCAATAATACTGACGAG